CGCCGACCGGGCCGTAAGTATGAGGGCCACTCCGATTTCGTCAAGGCTCTGGTCTGCGGCCGCCTCGGCGACAAGACCATCCTCGTCAGCGGCGGTGCAGACAAGAAGATTATCGTCTGGGACGCCGACGCGGGGCGCAAGCTACACGTTCTCCAGGACCCGACCACGACCATGATGTCGCTGCAGTCCCTCGCCATCGACCCGGTCCTCAGCACCGCGGACGAGATCGTCCTTGTGAGCGCCAGCAGTGATCCGCACATTCGCCGGTGGAAGATCAGCCTCGACTCGTACGCGCAGCTTCCCTTTGACCAGCCCCCTGCCGCTGGAGGAGAGAAGGCCGCCGCCGCCGCGGGCGAAGAAAAGCTCACGATCCAAGAACACGAGACGAGCGTGTACAAGGTCCTCTTCGACATCACCGGCGACGAAGTCGACCTCTGGACCGCGAGCGCGGACGGCACCGCCAAATGCCTCCTCCGCGAAAAGGCCTTTTCCGCAGAAGACGCCTTTGAGCACGGCGACTTTGTCCGCGCCGTCGCGCTCACGCCGGACTGGGTCGTCACGGCGGGAATCAACCAGCACATCAAGGTCTGGGACCGGACATCGGGCCAGCTGTACGCCCTCCTCGACGCGCACTTTGACGAGATCACCGACCTTGTCGTCCTGCGGGGTTCTTCGACGGCGGCGGCGGATGTGCTGTGCAGTGTCGGTATCGACTGTACGTTGCGGACGTGGCCTCTTGACCGTAAGGGGTTGGATGCGGCGGTCGAGGAGATTCGGGCTGCGTCCGAGGTTGTTGATGGGCAAGAGGGTGAGGGGGAGAAGAGGAAGGACGATGATAAGGAGCCTTTGATGACAGCTGAGGAGGAAGCGGAGTTGGCTGCGCTGATGGAGGATGATTAGAAAGTACAGTCTAGTCAATGAGATGGAATGGCATCGCGATCTGGCTCGCATTCTGTTGCCATCAGATCTTCACGTCACCCTCGTCTGCTTGGCGAGCTTGCCAATGTGATGCAATCATAAGCTACACGTCACGAGCTCAGTAGAAGGAGCGGAGATCAGGACATGCAAATAACCAAAAACCGTTTTCGCATCGAGTGCTCCAAGCCCGAGATGTTGAGACTTGCTCCTTCCTGCATGAGGGCATCACTCAATAGGCTTTCGGTCAACTCAATCCCAAGATTTCATCCTGACCTCCAATACGGCTAGATGGAGGCAGCATAATTATGTAGTTTGACGTTCACTGATGGTCTCTGATGTTGGGCAATATCGCTGCTTCGTTTACTCGGCCTATCACTTTCCCCCAGTCAAAGATACTGTACTTCCGAAGAGAGTATAACGTCGCGCGCGTTTGCTCACTAGTAACGCCTCATCTAGACTGCCTGAATGCCATCAGTGTCTCGGCCTGCCCGAGGCAATGGCTATTGTTGGGGAGTCTCTTATCGGAAGTGGCATATTGGCGGCATCACATCTACAAAGCTATACAGGCAAAAATCAACGGTTGGGATGACGTGGCAAACGGACAGAATCTTACATGGGTCTCTGAATTTCACCTGAGATTGCCGAGGGTATGGAATCAACGTCCTTCTCGGAGTTAAGTTGCTGTTCTCTTTCGACGGGAGATGCAGGGCATGTCGACATCTGCGGCATTCCATGCAGCCGGTCGATCCGTGGCGTATCTTGTCCGCTGGGATGTCGCCGATTTCACCAAGGAAAAACTGACTATAATTATTCGTTCGAGTGGGCTCCACGTGTTGCTCTGTGGGAGCTGCCGTGATATGTGATGGTCATCATCGTAGTCTGGCGTACCATGCTCGTATACAGAGTACTTCATACCAACGACCTTTCAAACGCCGTCCTCAATTCCGCATATGTTTTCATCCGTGTTCCTAGAATGGCGGAGCTGCCTCTGTGCTCAGCACTTATCTAGCGGCCCGGTCACCCGGATCAGTCTTCCGAACCAGGCCCGCCATACTAGGTCGTCCACGATGATGGCCGATCCCCAAGACTCACGCCAGCAAGTGCCACTTGCATGCCCGTGGCTGGTGGAGAGACTGGCATCGTATTCAAGCACATCTGCTCAAATAGCTAACAGGAATTAGTGGCTTCAATGGCTTGCCAGCCCGTGCGAGCATGCGAGGTTGCCGAAACGCGGCGGTCGCCTAGCTGCCACCCTCGCCTATCACAATATAAAAAGTGGCAATGGGCCAGAACCACGATGCAGCCAAGCTTGAGCTGAATTGTCCATCCAAGGGAATCCTGGATTGGATTGGGGAACTATGGGCTGTTGTTCAAGCCGGCCGCGATCAACGTATGGATCAGGGGTACGACTGCCGGCGGAAGGGCTTGTGCGACCAGAAGAGCCGCGGGAATCTCGAACTTTGAATCTTTTGACAGCATGTAAAGACGTCCTTGGGTCGACTAACAGGTGGCCATGTAAAGGTCTCGCTATTGCCAACAGATGAAACACAGACGTCGAAGGGAGATTTCTTTCTTCGTTTTCCACATTTCCCATCAAACCGCACGGGCAGATCAGGGATCTAGGCTTCCCCAAGTGCGGCTATAGATGAGACACTTTAGCCGCTCCGTGGCCTCGGCTTGATGGGTCCCAGCCGATATGTTGATGCTGAGTGAAAAACGCATTGATTACTTCTCAAGGTCCACGACGCGTCTATTGAGACGTCTTGTCTAAATCGTTAGTGCCAGCCGGCGGGTTCGCGACGACGCGTTCGAATACATTCAAGGTGTATACGTGTGCACTGGGTACGTGTGTAGCGCAGTCTGTGAGCCGCCGGACAATTATCATGCAGAAAAAATGGTACATAAAGACCAAATGCTGCAGGTGATGCAAGACACAGCTTATGCAAACGTGGTGGGGAATATCGAAGAGTCTAGGGCGGTTGGCGTGTCCCAATCGAGGCAACGTTGTGATCCGTGGCCGCCGTCTCAACGATTCAGGTTGTCTGCCGTACAACAAAGGCCGCATTTAGTCTGTTTCAAGCCCTTCACCGCTCCCTCTGATGACAAAGTCGTCCCGTTACTGCAGGAACTGACTCAAAGGGCAAACGATACAGTGGTGGTGGGGAACGCTCAAAGCCTGGCTGGATCAGCCCTTTAGAAGTTTAGAGCAACGTACTGCCTGGCGATCCGAGAACACGGGATAGGCCCCAGAGACGCCGCGTTGTGGATTATCGAAGATCGATCTGCTGCCCAGCTGGGATATGGAGCGGCGCTAATCAAGGCTGGCAGATCCCTCTTCAATTTGCCCACGAAAAAGCAATTTGTGTAGGACGGCTGCACGCAGAGGTAGATTGCTCCCAAAAGTGAAGGAGCCTGAGAATATGCTGAAGGTAGGTAATGAAGTAGTAAGCTGCATCCTAGAATGGCGAGGTAACTTGGTATGCTTTTGTATGAGCACATCTAGAGCTGGTATGCTGGTCGTTTCGTACAACGTCGGACAACATCCAGGCTCGGGCTTCCTGGTGTACCTATCTCTGTAAAGGCCATGTTACGCGCGCAGGTTCGTGGTTGAGAGCGCTATGATAAGTCTGATGGATGACAAAATTCGACATATTGGCGCCTCTGCAGCATGTTGTTGGCGCCCAAGGAAGAGCGATGTCCATACAGCCAATGGCTCTTTGCCAGGACATAAAGTCTAACAGTATCCGTTGCATTCCCATCATTTATGAACGGAGCGGGCACGTTGCTGGAACCACGGTTTCCAATGTGTGCTGGGTAAAATTGAGGCGCATTTTTTGAAGGCAAAGCGACGAGTCCGTGCAAATTTTGTATCGAGTCTGGTGTCGTAAAGTGTCTGCCTCGGCAATCCTGTCTCCTCAGATGCGTCCTAGTGATCCCTCCATGCCAAAGTATAGACTGATAGCGTGGCAAGAAGCTGGTTCCCTGATGCCGATAGCAATTGTTCGTATTGTGGACTGCACGCGTGTCCGTGACACGGTTGGCCAACCTAGTTGCTCGTAAAAGAGCGAAAACTCGGGTAGACTGCGACGGCGTGTGGAGATGGTGAGTGAAGAGGAGCGCGTATACACGCAGTATGGCACAGAGTTCTGGCTAGGGGGCAACTATGCGGGATAGAGTTGGATTGGTGGCGCGAGTCGGGGATCTGAGGGCGAGTGCCTCGGTTCTGCGACACACAAAGGGGGCTCCAACGTGAAACTCTGTCGAAATTTGTACTATCGATGGTAAAATTTGCCCAATTTGAGAAACTCAAGGTGGCGATGGGCGGCACTCGAACAGCGGCCGTTTGCAAAGGACCAGATCTCGTGATAAGCTTGTCAAACCCCATATGACAGGTAGAGGTGAGATGAGGTTCGAGGAATGCTTCCGGACGAACAGGCTACAGCCCTTGTCACGCAGCCTATGCAGGAACAGGATTTCCCTGCAGACACGTGTATGTCGTGCAAAGGCAGGACGCAGGGGGCGGAAGTGCAAACAAAAGAGTGTGAGAATCTACCTTACTGTAGGCATCTTTCGCTGGAATTTTGGGTGAGAAATGAACGAAATGTACTCCGTAAGCAGTGTGAAAATAAGCAGGAACTGGTAGGAAGCAAACAGCCAGAGCAGATCCTGCCTTGCCGATTGGCCCTTTTTCCCCGACTAAGAGCAGGCCTGTCGTCGATCGCCCAAAAGGGCAAGGCTCCTTTTCGAGTACATGTACCCCTGTCCACAGCCCCTGCTTCGTCCACGCTTTGCCCGCCTGACATGAACCCTGAACCCTGGACCACCCGTGAGGCCCCCGCCAGCCGCCGTCTTGTAGACCCACTTTCCACACCCTCCTCCAGCTGAGTGGCCAGACACAAGGAACGCCATCCATCATCGCAAAGTGCCGCATCCAGGCGTCCCTTGTTCCAGCCTCCTAAGCCATCCAACCTCCCGATCTTCCCTCTTGTTTCTCTATTGCACGGGCTGCCCTGTGGTCTTGCAAAGAGCATGGGTCGTATCTTGCCTTGCGGACACTATGGGACGGCATTCGATGGGGAACTATGCCCGTCCCTTCAGACTATGAATACAACCCTTGCCTCGCACTCACTCACCTACGCAGTAGGTCGATCCGTTCGCCCTGGATGAAATGGAGGCTATTGTTTGGCCAACTTTGTTTGTCCGACACAGACTCGTCGCAACCGCACCCGCAAGGAACCTAGTCTTGCCTTAAGATATTGTATAGAAAGCTGTCAGCCCAGAGTGCTCGCAGACTCTGTGTTACATTCGCTTCGCTTGTTTCGTTCGTCGTGCTAGTAGCCCGCAGTTGCAACGTCCAGATACTGATACCGGCGATACGAGTCTACCATGGTAGGTAGGTAGGTTCGTCAAACGGCTACATGGCTTAGCCGATCAATGATGCAAGTGACGGCGGCCTGCACAACTGCCAAAGCAGTCTGCCATTGTTCCCCGAAGCTGGAAACGCCGACGGACTGGCTCCTGCGACGCCCGACGCTGAGGTCAAATCGGATTATCGATTTGGGTCCTAGTCTCAAGCCATTCAGTAACGACCAGGGAGAAGGCGCCGAGGAGCTTGCCCCAAGCCTCCAACTCTACGTAGACAAGTAGGTGGTAGCAAGTAGCGTAAACCTTTCGACTAAACGCCCCAGACCTGCCACCACCAGTCACCCATCTCGACCTGAAGTGTCTTTGAACGCTACCGTCTTACTAAGGAACGCACGCGGTCTCGCTAGCTCATTAGTGAGCGTTGGCCAAGGGCGAAGTAAGACGGATTCCGATATCCCACACCGAGAGCAGACGCGCCGTTTAGTCTTCACCTTTACAATTCCATTTCTTGGTGCGCCTCCGTTTCTGCATCCAGCGTTCCGGCGTCACGAGGGTCACCTACATTGAACCTCAGGAATCATTCGACAATACCTCCTGCTTCCTGCCTCTTGCCGTCTGCCACCTTCCGTTGCCCCAGCCAGTCCTTCCTCAGGTGGTCAGTAATGTGAGGTACCTTAAGGTAGTCAACACTGGCAGGCCGCAGCACACCATTGGATTGCACTACGACTGGAATTTGATCATGAGATGCTCGGCTGAGGATTCTGGCCTTGATTTGGTTGGTTCTTTCTTTCATCCGGACAAGACGACGCATCTTTCCATATAGGCAACCAACCCCAACAAGGCCTCAAGCTTACCGCACCATCCCGTCCCAGACATCCGGTCACTCTTTCCACATCGCATCCCCCTTTTCTCGCCGGGAAGCCACTGCGTCGTTGCCAACCAGACTAGCGACTTGGGGCGTAGCTTGGAGACGCCAACTATTTGTCTACTCTCTCCTGTCTCCCTAAATCAGGAACATCGACTCGGTAGAGCCAAGCCACCTTTTCTGGCCCTTATGCCGCCGGCCGCGCTTACGTCTACGCCTACTCCATTACACCTCTTTATTCTCTCCAGGTCTGCCCATCATACTTTTCCCGCCCGGTGGCCGTTGGATTTCTCCATTTTTCGCATCCCAATTTCTCTTCTCTCTTTCGGCTCGTCACTGCTCTTGCTGTTGACTTGGACGAAACTGGCCAACGTGGGAGAATCGGCAACTGGTTGCACTGATTCACACCTTCCGCCTTTTATCGACGTTTTCTTCACTTCGCTAGCAAGGCCTCTCCGACAATCGAATACACTCAATTGCGTTACTTGAACGCTTCATCTCACCTCTTCTCCGCGACTACCACATAATTCATAATCAGCTCATTCGTTCGCGAACTTCACGCCTCTATCAATCTTCATCTCCCTGGACGACTCTTCCCAATGGCCGAGCCTGCTGAATACCATGGCGGCCTCGTTGCCTTCGAGGGTCCCCATGACCTCGTTTCGACTCAGCTCCGTCTTCTACCTATATCATCGCAAATTGCCATCCTTCCCAGCGTCAAGGAATTCCTCGAACCCGAGAACCCCGATGAGCCGTTTGAAGCGCGCAAGTTTGTCAGGCGAGTTCACAATGCTGTCGCCAAGAGAAGGGACACCGCTCTGGAATTCTTGAAGGATTCGACCCCCAAGCGTAAGAGACTGGTCTTCATGAATGGCGGTACGCCCAGCGCGCAGACGGTCTGCATCAGAGCCATCTCTCGGAATGAGACAGAGGGGGATATATCCAAAGCCGAAGCAATCTTCAACGACCTTCTTAAAGGTGGCGTTGCCGGCCTCGAGGACCCCGCCAACTCAAGCGGCTCATTCCTTGATACCTCGGAGGAAATAAGCGAAGACCCCATCACCAGAGCTATGCGTGCTGCCGATGCTCTCGACCGGGAAACTGCAAACTTACAGCCTTCCAGCGACATCGATCTCACCACTCCCGCCGGCCGTCCGCGCCCGAGAAGCATGAGCCTACCCATGTATAGCTTCGCCGATACCTTTGGTGATATGGCATCCTTCTACGTCTTTGGTGGCCAGTTCAGTGAAGATCATATCAAGGAGGAGGGGCAAGTCGAGGCTACGACTCCACATCTTGGCCCAACACCCAGGCTCGCCATCACGAATTTCGACGAGCTTGAAAGAGTCTCCGGTGAAGGCTTTGATAGTGACGGTAAACCCATCGTCACTGCTCCACTTCGGTCTCCGAGCTGTGTGGGCGAGGCATATGAGCGGGATGATGTATCCTCATCTTTTTCACCTAACGCTCCTGGCCTTCTCGACGTGGCATCTCCCAGATCTGACGTCTTCAGCATCCGTTCGACAGAGCCAATATACATCGAACAAGCCTCACTCGTCCGTATGAAGTCATCCGCCTCTTCCAGGACTTTGAAGCGATCACAGTCGATTAGCCATCTCCATCGAAGCAACTCTCGCTATAGAGACACTCTCATGCGGCTGAAGCCTAAGGAGCAAAGTGCTGCTGAGAAAATTCGCAATGAGAAGCCCTCCGCTGAGAACTTGTTGCTTTCCGCTGAGAAGACTACTGCCGAGAAGGTTGCCGAGGGTCGCCCTGTGTCGGTAGTTGAACTCATCGAAGACGCCGAAAAACGCGAAAGTAGCGCTAAGCGCGTCGAAGGCCCGAAGACAATCTATGTCAAAGCAGCCCGACCAAATAAGGGAGTCAACAAGGCATTACCGCCCCCTCCACCGTCCGAGAAGAGACTGCGCAAACGTAAGCATACCAAGTCTAGGTCGAAATATGTCGACAGAGGAACCGATGCCGAAGATGTCGAACTGAATGAGACGCCGTTCCGACCTGTACTACCTTTCTATGAGGACCTAGTCATTCACTTCAAGGACGACAGTCCAGACCCAATCCTGGAATACATGATCAAGGCTTTCAGAGAAGGTGTTTATCCTGTTACACTGCCTTCTTCTGCTTCCTCCGGCACGTCTACTGCGGATGGTGACAGATCGACCCCGCAGACTCCAACCTGGCAACTGGCCGAGCCCGAAGTCACCCAGTTCACGTCCACGACGAAGGTCAGCACAGAAGAGTACGACCCTTTCTCCTACCAGGGTCCGACCTACACCGCGAAGCCTGTCCAGCCTTTCACCCGGACTGTAATAAGATCAGCTCTGCCTACGCCTGCGCATACGCCTCCGCCCATGGTGTCCGAGTCGGAGGATAAGTTCCACGATTTCAACGCCGTGCACGGTCAGACGGCTGTAGCCATGCAGAACTCCCTCAGATCAGTGCTTAACATCTACTTCCCACCCAAGGGAAGAGGGTTCTCTCAGTTCAACTTTCCGTTGCTTCCCGAGATGGACGCACTGTGGAAGCCGATATTCCGGGACGTTGAGCCTGGTGGAAGTCCAAGAAAAGACAATCACCGAATAGACCAAATTTTGGCCATAGGTGCGCAACGTGGAGTCAAGAAAACATTTGTCTCTGGAGTAACTAGCCAGCTTGAGAAGTTGGGCACAAAGTCGAGCGGCATTTCGAGGACTGGCAGGCTGGATTTCCGGTAAGTTCTTTTCTTTGGGTGATCTTTTCGTCTCTTGACTAACGAAACTTCTCAGATATCTCATTGCGAATGCGATGCAGTCCTTCACCGCACAGCCACTGGCCAACCAGACTCAAGACAACCCTTTCACCAACTCATATCTTCTGGCGACGCTTATCATTCCTCATCTTGAGACTTTCTTTGCTGCGCACTCCGAAGTCCGTTTTCTGATTCTCGACTACCCTCCGGATCATCTTGCCACCATCCTCGCTTTGCAGAAGTTGGTCGGCGTCGATTTGATGAAAGTTGCCCAAGTCATTGATGCTCAGGCCAAGGAGCCACTTCCCTTCACTCATGTTCGAGGTAGCTCCTTGGGACGTATTCCTACTGTGAGTGACTTGGCATCGAGCTCAAGCTCACTCCAGTCCAAGGGATCGAGATCTGCCGCATCGACATCTTCGCGAGATGGGCTGGCAGTTTCCAAGGCCAACTTTCTCCTCGCATCCACCGCAACAGAGGCGGAAGTTGCGACTTTTGTGTCCACCATCTGGAAGACTCTGATCAACATCTCCAAGTTCTACCTGCCTGAAGAAAGCAAGAAGCTTGAAGAGAGTAGTGTCAAGAGCAAGCGGCAATCCGGGAACTTCTCGGCATTCCCTCAGGCTTCGATGAGCCCTCCGATGTCTCCGCCATCCTCCAGTGGTCGCAAGGCCGTGAATAGAGCATCAGGCTCTATCAGAACTTCAGCCCGACCTTCTTCCATCGCAGAAACAATCATGGGTCGCCGATTCAAGTCACGACGAGGCGACAGAAAAAGCGTCGGCGATGCCACATCCATCTTAACCGTCGATATGGACTACGAGAGCGATCTAGACCTCGAGGAAAGACGTTTGATGCCCATGTTCTTGAAGAAGAACCAGGTCCGGAAGGGAAACAGCCGCAAGGCCCTTAAGTTTCTCGGCCTAGCTTGATAAGTCACTCCGTGACTTTGTACCGTTACTTGTATCTGTAGGGCTAAATGGCTCGGCCCTGCATCTTGTTTTCCTTTTCTTTGAAATGACCCCATCACGACGTTTCATTCTCAGTCTCAACACCATGGCATAAGGTGTTGCATCATGTTAGAAGAAGAGCCACATCATGTCGAAGGGGGAAGTGGGGCAGAGGGCCGAGAGATGGATGGATACTTGCTGCTCGGTTTCAAGATCGATGATCTTGTTCTTTGCTCTTATCATTAGTTCCGAGCGCGTCATATGCGCGATCTTTCAGTTGCAGTCTTGGCTGGACAATACCCAGGGACAGATCTCCCATAGATACGAAATGAAACTTTCAGAGCGCCTGCATTCTTCCTTCTTGGTGTTGATACTTCGCCTACTTGGCGCGTCAGTGATGGTGGCACCTTGAGGTATCAAATAACCGACTTGTGTCGGACCTCTCGAGGGGACTATACGTTCAAAGTAGAGGCCTCGACGGATATCGCAACATCAATTGAGACAGAATAACATCAGGACCATGGTCATAATTGCCAATAGCTCGGACTACTTCGACATCTCCATCCAGAACAACTCACTGCTTTTGAAACTTGGCCTGACCAAGTCGTTGCGCATTTGCACACAAAGACATCTGGGCACGCACCAAAGTCCTGGACATCGTTATCACGCCGGCTCAAAAGTCCGGCAACACCATTGAGCTCTCCCACCCAAATTATCTCCAGAATCCCCCACCTTCTTACACGACACATGGCTTCGAATGTATATATCTCAGTTTTCCATTAATATTTGAATACAACGCTGACCTGAAGTATTAGAGAGATGTAAGATTTTCTGAATTCAAGTTTAAGGTGATAAATTTAGTATGAGGAGACTGGAGAGAACTTTCAAGTGGCCCTTGATGGTACTTCTGACTCACAAAGAGTTCATTTTCTTTGATAACAAGATACTTGGAAGTCGAGGGAAACCACAAAACCCAATATGCCGCCTCCAAGAATCGCCATAAATCCATCTCCATTTGCCCTTTGCCTGCATTCAAGACCCCGAAGTCTCTCCCTCCCCCCTGAGAATCAGCGAAACATTCAACAACCGATATCCATCATCCAATACTCATCATCCAACACTTAAGACAAGACCAACAAGATGAGCCAACTAGGAGATTGTAACGACCTCGGCGAGGACATCATACCGGCGGGTACCCCCTCCGACAACGACATCCCACACCGCATCCAACAGCACTCTGAGATTGCCCTATTGTCTCAGGATCTAGAAAAAAAAACCCGTCAAACCTCGGTACACTTGGACAAGATACTCGACGAGTTCAAAGACATCGAGGGACCAGAGCTTTCTCGCCTGAAGGGAGAAGGCATCGATGTGCCGATGGCGCGTCTCGATGGGCTCGATCTGAACTACAAGATCTGCCAAATAGAAGAAGATCTCTTGGCTCTTCGAGAAACATCCGCAGAAATCGACAGCGATGCGGCGGCGCAGGAATGTACCAAATTGAAAAGGTGCCGAGACTTCCTGGGTCAAACAGTGTTCCAGAAGAGGTCGCGTATTATCGAGCATCTCAACGTGGCGAGCCTCTGGGGACCTTGTGCCAGGACCATAGCCCAGGGTGTGGAGACCTGCTACGGCAGGTTTGATAGATACCAGACGAAGTCCCTGGGAATCAGTAATTGGTTCCGCAATAAAGCTCTGCTGTACTACGGAGGGCAATCTTGCCAATACCAGGCCGCAGAAATCTCCAGGACGGACACCGTGATGGCAAATATTTTGGCTGAATCCTACGAACACTGCTGGTGTCACGCCACCGACTCGTGGATGCATCTAGAAGAAACACCAGACGACGAGCATGCTCAACCCCTGCCTCAGCGCTATGCCGCTGCGAACATTGTGCCGTATTCCTCGAACGTACCTCATGAGATCTTAGATCACCTTTTCCGTGAGAGAACGGGCGAATTGAGCGGGCCGGCGAATTCACTTTTACTTTCGACGCTGATCCAGTATTGGTTCAACCATTATAAGCTAGTCATTGTCCCTGTTGATCCGGAAGAAAAGCCACTCAAACGATGGAAGATCGACATCCTCGACAGGGGCATAGAAGATGACCCCCTTCACGACGTAACCCCCACACCTGGCGGGGATAGACCTCGCATAGCTAGAGGTCTTTAGGACAGAGAATCGGTATTCCTCAACGACAAGCGACCGGCTGCACGATTTCTGTATTTCCATTTCATTATAGCACTTCTCCGCTCGAAGGATACCAAAGCGGAGAGCTGGAAAGACGCCCGGGCAAAGTACTTGTCCCGTGACCCGTCCGCAGCCCTTCTTCACTTGCTACCTCCTTGAGGGGCAACACCATTCTCTCCCCACTTCATCATGGGCCACACCCATTCAATATAGGTTAGAATATATTCTCCTATGTCTATAAGAACAATTTTGATGCAAAAGGGCAGTACTTGTGATATGAGTAGTGAAAGGGATACTGATTGAAATGTATGGTAGGAAACCAATTATGTTAACTTTGGGGAGTAGGTTCGATTCCTGGCTTGACTTCCAAGTGATTCGTAAAGAGTAAAATCTAACGCTATCTTGTAGTACAACTGCCCAGGTACCCAAGAAGGTGGAAGAACGGAGCAAACAGTCGAACGTGAGGCGAGCCCGATGACCGGTCGATCCGAAACCCTCGTATGCGCCGCCCATCATACTCTCGTTCGACATGCAAATGCTCGTTGACTAGGTTGGCAAACGCCTAGATTGGTTCAGGCTGAGACCTCACGCGGGATGCTTTTCACGAATTGGGAAACAAACGGAATCGTCACCCTCGATTGCCGCAATATCAAGAAGGAAAACGTCACTTGCCCATTACTTCGACCCTATCTACCAGAAAAGCAGCAGCCGCCAAGGATTGGAAACAAAAAAAGAGAAGACATGTGGCTGGGAACAAACGCGCAGACACCCATACGTACGGCCCGCTGCGTTGCCTATGTGCTCGCCCCCTGGCCAACCAAGCTTGATTGCAAAGCACACGATACGCCGACAAAACAAAGCCTACGCTTGTAATACACATCGAGTTGGCCTTGTTATTCTCTCTGCGCTCAGTGAGATGCCTAGAAGTCTCCCACCGAACGCCCCAGAGTCTGGCTTCTGAATTGTCGTCAGGCACCAGGAGCCTGGTCGTTTGCCGTGAACAACGCCATGGGTCCAGTTACAGAGGTATCTTGTGTCGATTGTGTGTGTGTGCAGTGCGAAGGAGCTGGGACGAACCAAACCAACACTCATCTATGCGTAGAAGTATGGAAAGCAGCCTTTGCGCGGAAGGAGAGAAAAGCGAACGACACAGCATCGTCCGAGCCAAAATGTAATCCCTACACCGTCATGAGCTGTGCATTCCCTTCCTCGCCCATTCTGCCCAGCTGTATCCCCTCCGCCGAGAAAAATCCGTAAAATGCCATAGAACACAGGTAAGGAAAGCGGGCTTCGTAGAAATCAGGGACGATACATTTAGCAGCAGCCACCTCCCGAGTTCGAGGAGACACCGTGGCCAGGGCCAACCTGTACGGAGGGTTTCGTGTTGTTCGCGGTCGTGCTACCCATGCGCTCCTTGATCTGGCGGGCCATGGTCAGGAAAGCCTGCTCGACGTTGCTGGCGTTCTTTGCAGAGGTTTCAAGGAAGGGAATGCCCAAGCTGTCGGCGAATTCCTTTTGGAGGGTTAGCAAACAGATGGTCAAAATAAAGAACTTTACAGTCCGAGTGGGAGTTGTCGGGCAATGTGTCGCCTCAACAGCCGGCGGGGGTAATCTGACCTTGGCGACGGTGTACTCGACAACCTTCTTGTCGGACATATCGCTCTTGTTGCCAACGAGCAGCTTGTTGACGCCCTCGGTGGCGTATCTGTCGATCTCCTGGAGCCATTGCTTGACGTTGTTGAAAGAGTCCATGTCGGTGACATCGTAGACGACGCAGATGCCGTGGGCACCACGGTAGTAGGAGGAAGTGATGGTGCGGAAACGCTCCTGACCGGCAGTATCCCACTACCAAGTAGATAAAAATGTCAGCATTTGCGACAGCCTCATTTTCTCGACAACATTCTCCGCCAGGATTAACTCACGATTTGCAGCTTCACCGTCTTTCCATCGAGCTCTATCGTGCGGATTTTCTAAGGTTTATCGTCAGTAGCCGATCGGTCGGCGTCGGCAGAGTGGGGGATTTCATACAAAGTCAACACCGATGGTGGAGATGTAGGACTCGGTGTATGTGTCGTCGGCGAATCGCAACAGAAGGCAAGACTTTCCAACACCGGAATCACCGATGAGGAGAAGCTTGAAGAGGTAGTCGTACCTGGCGTCAGGTCAGTATCGGTGTCGAACCTAAATCATATCGGCGATTTTCGCGCTTTGCGCGCCATGGCAGCGAAAAGATCGAAAAGACGATATCGATGAGGGGGGGAGACTCTGTGAGAGAGAACAAGGTCAGCTTAGCAGCGACTCCCGAGGATTCCTCGTTTCGCAAGGCAAGGAGGCGGAGGAGGCGGTTGAGGCAACGTACTACTCGGGGTTCATTGTGAATAGCGGGGGATCTGGTCAAGGCTGGTAGGGATCGAGAGACGCGGCGGATATAGGCGCGCTGGGCGATTATATGGACGTTGTGTAGGTGTTGGGAGGTTGATGGATTTCGGTGGTGTCGTGTTGAGGTTCCAGGTTGTGAAAGCAACAAAGCCAGAGTCAGGACAGGTCAAGTGAGGTGGTAGGAGTCGGACGGAGTAAATGCAGGCTGCTGCTACGTCAAGGCTTCTAGCGCGGTGTACAGAGTACCAGTCAGGTGCCAGTCTCTGATTACCTTAGTGCTCGGTGTCCTGTGCCCAGAGTCCTGTGTCCAGTGCAGTGTCCAGTGGGTTACCGCCTGGCGGGAGGAACAAAAGGACCCACGTCGACCTGGGCAGTCAGATGTCACCGACGAATGAAACTCTTTGGAGATGCTAGCATGGCACGGGATCAAGCACGTGATACGTCTTTTTAGTGTTCTGGACCGGCTCCAGTGGGGCTGTTCAGACACCTCTGTGACCTTGGGGAGGCAGGCACCTGGCACACAAGCAAGGCAGGGACGACATGTTGAGCCTGTCCTTATCCAGTGGCGTCCTCCAGGTCGGGTGTCTGCGCCTCCACACTACTTCTGGGACATCGGATTCCGGATGCAGTACGTAAGCAGGTGCCGGGGTCCGTCCTCGTTCCTGCAGTCCTTAATATCAGGGGGTCAAGTGCTATTCGTCTTCCATGAAACGCCTCCGCCAGCAGCTGCGACCTGCGGCGAAAAAGTTTCCTTTCAAAATGTCGGGTAGTATCTGATCTGGGGGCTCTCTCAACGTTGGAAAGCTTGTTTCGTTTCTTACCATCAATTCCGGTTCTATCATCTCCTAATACCCTTGCTCCATGAGCCATTGCCACATAAAGCAAGTTTTGGGCAATACGGGTATCCCCAGAGCAGTGACCTTGACAGGTATCCCTTTATCTGGGGGTGAGGCCGTTGGTGCCAAGACACCACATTCTGCGGTTCATGTGGAGCTTTTCAGGTCTTCAACCTCACTCATCCCGCATATCTACTTACACGTGCAGACCTTGGCTGACTTTCCATTCCCTTTTGATATATGACACGGTTGATGATTGTCAGAAAAGGAACTCCAAAGTAGCACTGCCACCCCCAAAGGTGATGAATCTCTTTGTCCTTCCCTCCTGAAAGTTAGTTCACTAGATAGGAGTCCTAACTGCCCTTGACTTATTACTTCGCACCACCTTCTACTTCCATTGCTTTGTAAGATGATGATGGCTACACTACTATTGAGTGGCCTCAAATGATGAATGATGATGACCGGCAGGCATCAACGTGACAATTTTATCCCTGCGAGTAGTAAGATTGTCGATTTTGACTGCCGATCAGTCAATTTTCCTCTACTAGAGAAACTACTCATGATATCGAAGTCTGTAAAGAAGCTGCCGCTTCAGTTGTCATCGGCTTCTTTTTTGGTCACAGCTTTCAGTCCAGCCATGGTCACTGAAAACTCGACAGCGCCATCCAAACCCTGCCCCGTAGCTCTCGAGTGAGGAGCGAAGACCACTTTCATCCATCGTCGCCAGTTCTTGAGCGCCGGCATGCCCCGATCATCGGCTTCATCTTCTATGTGCCGATGCACTCCATACACGGGCTTCTTGAAAAGCGCGATGCGGCACGCAATCTGTGTTGACCACACAAGACCTAGACTGGGCGTTTTGAGCCCATAGTCTGCAAACGGATCGTCGCCCCATCCCGTGAACCATCGTTGCTGGTGGTCAAATGCGAGCGCGGGAGGCGCAGGCGGGCCGAAGTCATCCAGGCCGGGAGGTTCAGGCATACTAGAACGAACATGTTCAGCTATGGACGATGTCGGTTCGACCGCCGACGGTGAGAAAGCTCTCAGCCCTCTGCTCCGCGATGCCAGTGGGCTTTCCTGGGTGAAACTCGGAGCAGCGGCCGTGGGCGCCGCTCTAGGGGTCGCCACGGGCGCAAAAGGACTGGAGAAGCGATCCGCGACTTGGTTGGCGACAACAACAGCCAAGTTGTATGTTTGGGCCAGCTCTCTAAGCAAGGCTCCAAGTCGCGTGAGTTCGTTGCTTCGGGCTCCCATATTTGACCCATGATTACCAAGAGCCCCTCGCTCAAATTCGGCTCGATAGTTAGAGGCGACAGAGTCCAAGACGATGAGTCCAGTATTCCGCCTCTCAACCTCTACGGGGACTTGAAATTGGAGAATGTGCTCCTGTGACTCAAGGTCAGGTGTCGAAGTGCTGAGGATACCGTCTAGAGACGGCTTGTCTTCCGGTGAGAGGTCTGCGAACCGCGGATTGGATGACAGTATTTGCGATAGACGCTTGGTGGACAACTGAGCCTCTGTTGTGATGTATATGGCCGGGCGCCCTAAGCCATACGGCGGCGGCAATTGAACGGCCAGCAATAAGGATAGCAGAAATTGCGTTTTTCCAGCGCCGCTTTCGCCCGTGATCTCGGTCACATAGCCGGCTGGGATTCCTCCCCCCAAAGCTCGGTCAAGAGAGTCGTCTAGAGTGCTAATGGTAGACCATTGATTCTCAAGATCCGTCAGAGAGCGCTTGAGAAACCGGCTAGCCTTTGGCGGCTCGTTGGCAGAGCCAAAGTCGCGATGGAGGGCATCGACGACGGCAGCGCAAAGTCTTTTGATGTCAAGCAAAGGCAGTTGAGTGCGCTTGCCTATGTCAACGACATCCTGAGTTAGTAAATCTGTGACGGAAAGCTGATGGCGTTCCAGAGTCTGCAACAGTCCAGCAAACTGCCTAACAGGGAAGTCAGGTATCAGTTGAAGCAGGTCGGACATGGCATGTGAAGAGAGTCCGGCGGCATGGATTGTCGAATGGCCTCTATATTCTCTTTAAAGTCTCCTGTCTCCGATGTATTCTGAAGAGTTGATGTCTTGCGATGGTAAGGCCTGGTGAGTGAGATGTGAACAAGAATCGTCACAGGAGCTTGAGAGCCATTATGAGGTGTTCGGCCAGTCGAATTAGTTGAAGTGAAATGTTTGATAAGATCTGATCGCCAAGGCCGCGTCGCTGCTTCTTGTCGTAGCGTGTCAGTTACACGGAATGGGAAGTTATGGCCAGGATTGATCTTGCAAACGAGCGCGTATTCACCTACATGTATGGAAGGTATTGATGCACGCCATCATCACAAAGACAGAGCCAATGGAGAGAGGTTGATGATTCCCTCGGCTAGGTACGTACCTGATGGTGGTCATTGTTGATTATGTCATCACACCCACTGGTTGAGATCTGCTGGCACTGGCATAGAGTCAAAATAGCCAAATGACTTAAGCAGTTAAAGCAACCAATCCCTTTTTGCGATATGCATGCTTTTTAAACTTTCACTATGATCTTATAACTGATCCCAATCTCATTATTTTGAGTGTATAGGGAGGCGGGCTGTGTCCGCTCTCACGCCCGCGAAGTGTTCGAGTTTAACGTCCACCGCGGGGCTGATAGCACCTTTACTTAGTCATGCTTGGGCATTGACATAGACTTCTTATATATCTGCCGTTGTCGATAGCCTGTCAGCACGCAAGTAGAAGACGGGTCTGATATAATGCGTCTCTGAATGGCCCGCCTCGGGTGCTGGGTCGGTCATTATTTCAATGTGATACTTCATCGCTTGGGACTCAAGTCCGTTCCCAGGTATCATCATCATGCTCACGCAGGACAACGATGTCAGAGACGCCAGCTACCGAAGCAAAAACGACGCTTGAAGGCCGAAGTCTAAGGGTATGACCCATGGAGGAAGATGGGTAGTACTCACAAAAAGAGGGAGAAGGGTGTCAGACCTCGAAGTATGGATGAAGAAGCGGGATTGCTTGCATGGTGGAATTAGTTTGCACATGGGAAAAGGACTCAAGCGGTAAAAGTTTTTGCTACCAAAATGTTGAACACAGCAGGTAGGCTATCCCATCTCTAAAATCCCGGCATATCTAGCTTGAGAGCGACGGAAGCATGTTCATTGGGGACGGCGGGCAGATTTTCAAGCCCAATTTGAAGTTAGACCATCTCTTCATCCTTGGCTTTCTCTCCCACAAACGTCTTTGGTACTTGATTACCGGTAGCTTTAACAAATCGTTGCTTAATTATATAGTTGTGATGATTTGAGATCCTGTCTCAGGCTGGGTTCATTGGTGCCAGCACAGTCACCAGCATGTCACTATTCTGCCGTAGTAGCTAATCAGTATCGTGATTGAGAGGTATAGGCCCTCTCACATATAACACCGACTCCCAGAGACTGATAAATGGTTGCTTTCCATTCAGTATAATGAATCAATTCATGTGAATGATTCATGTTTTTTGTGCCAAAGAAACGGCACCACAAATTTGGCAATACTGTAGGCAAGACGCCTGGGCAACCCAGACAACGCTGACATTGGCGAATCATAGCATGCCCAGCCAACAAGCCTCAGAGGTATGCAACTAAGGCTGGTATACTAGTCAATAAGAAAGATCTTCATCGCCTCGTCGCCAACTCTGACTACGCCTGGTGCCTCGTTCTCGGTTCGATTCGAGGCCCTAGACTTGGAGGGATCTATCGGTGGGCTACCTTATGTCGGTGCAGAGAGACAATCGACCCGACGGATACAATGGAACCTTAACAGTGGAGTACAGAGATTAGAGGGGCGAGGTTTGAAAGCGGTTAGAGGAAGAGCTATCTTCCAATCGCAAAGCATCCTTGGCCTCCAGCGAGCCACTGAGGGGCGTCAAGCAATAGCGCACTATCTAAGCGGAAGTTGTCTTCCAATCAAGCGCCTGCCTGCCTTCCTACCTACCCAGAAAGGGGGACGCATGGCAGAGGTACCTTCTACTGATGTTTTGGAATGGGATATCTGCGAATTTTGCTCTGTTGGCTACATGGCCTTTGCTGCAGCAATCAACATGGTCAATACGTATGCAAATAGGACCGGTTTCCTTTTCTCTTTGACGCGAATTATTGATGGCGAATTTCCTCTGACTCTCGTCAATCCCAA